TTTTTTTTTTTTAGCTAACATTAGCTCTGGTGTCTGTCAGCGACTGTTGTAGCGTTGTTTAACGAGCTAGCATCAGCCTGAAAGGCGTCGCGTTCTCTTTTCAAAATGTTTATTATAAATATATATATATACAGAAATATAGCCCTCCACGGGTGTATGATTCCGGGGTGAGTGATGGGGTTTTGGAGGGTGGTGCTGGTGGTGCTGGGGTATTTCTATTGGCTTTGTCTCTTGTCCTTCTCATCTTCATGGGCTCATTTTCACTGTTGTTTTGAGTCTAACACTGATGACTCTCTGCACCTCCAACCCTCCTCTACGTAAGCCCCCCCCATCCACCCCAAATCCCTTCCTATCGGCCAATTTAAACAAGCTGGAGTCCAGAGAGGGAGAAAGGAAGAAGAGGGGCAGAAAGAAAGATGCTTTGGTCTAATCTCTTAAAAAAAAAAACAGTAAAAAGGAACGAGACGAGGAAAAAAAAAAGGTGGTAAAGAGGGTTAGGGTGATTTGGCAGCCAAAAGCCTGTTGGTACGACAGCAGCCCCCCCCCTTCCCCCCACCGCTGATGGAGGCTAAGAACACAGATCCCCAAACCTCCCAACAGACGAAGGCCACGGAGACAAAGTGACAAAAGCTGCTGGATCTTTTTTTGTTTTTTTTTCAAACATTTCCCTCCTCTTTCAGTTAAAACAATTTTTCCATTGAAGCCGTCTGCCTGTGTTGTTTCCATTGTAATCTGGTCTCTGATGAAGTTTCATTGTTTCGCCAGTGAAACCACTGACAGCTTAGCTGAGACGGAGTAGAGGAGGCATTACAGCGCGGGCGTTTTCCCGTTTGGCTCGCAGAGAAAAGAGCAGAGGAAGAGGAGGGGACGCGATCACAATGGCAGTTTTGTAGAGCGGGGGGGCGGGGGGGTGCGGGGTCCTTCAAATCCGACTGTATGAGCACAGAGAGAAGCGAACGCAAAAACAAGAATCTGGGATGAATCCCAGCGTTCCTGCGATTGTCCGCCGACAGAGGAGTCGGGAGAATCCGTGATATTTTGATTTTTGTTCTCCGGGCTTTTGTTCACATGATACCAGTTTTTATGGCCTAGAACAGAGGAGGGCAGTTGGTACAGTTCCAGTGACAGGAAACTTTTTTTGCATGCTAGCGCCTTGAGCCGAAGATTACAGCCTTCTAATGAGTAATGTGTAAATGAAGTCATTAAAGTGTAATTACTGTTGTTGTTCAAACGTACTCTGACAAATATGCCTCAGGTCGTCATTTAAAAATCTACTGACATCTGCATTACTTTTTACTGTCAAACGTTAAAAAAACAAAAACAAACTAGAATGCGTTTTTAACCTTCAACACAGAAGTCAAAGGTCGGCCGGGATCAGCCGGTACTGTGGACCGGTAACACCGCACATCGTTGGATCATTTTTTTCAAATTTTCAAAATAAAACATCTTTTAGACTTTGTGTTAGTATTTGTTAGGATTATTTTAAAATGAAGTATTATTTTAGAATGAAGAATGAAGTAACATTACATTACACCCCTCCCCCCTTCATTTTCAGCGCTGACGGCAGAACCAATCAGAGGAGAACACCAGCAAAGACGGGTCATGTGACGGTGAACCCAGATCTGTTCCGGACTCTGACACAAACAGGTTTGTAGAACTTTGAGGTCCAGGGTTTGGTCTGGAGCTGGAATACACGGCCAACGAGTTCTCGTGCGAAATCTGTTTCAACGTCGTACGTTTGAATGATGGAAACAGACTTTGTTTAAATAAATTTATGGGAGACGGCGACATAACCCACGAAACGCTGCAGGTTCGAGGACGTCGTAAACCGCGGACCCCCTGCATATTGAATTACACAAAGGAAGTTCGTCCTCAGGCAGAAGAGGACAGAGATGCCATGTTGTTTTGTTAGCAACAGGCTGGAAATGAAGTGGAATTTAGTTTAAAATTTTATTCCTCGAACTTGATCTCTATAAAAACTCTAGTCGTGAGTGTTTTTTGTTTGAAAAGTCACAGCACGAGAATTTGTGTATGTGCTCAGAGGACACAAATAACAGTATGTGTGTGTACGTGGCGAGGACTTGTTTGATTAGAGACGTCTGATGGTGACAGAGTTCGTTGTATCTGGTCTGTTACCACCTGGTATTTTCATTCTTTCTGCAGGAAACACTGAAGGAGACGGAAACAGAAAGAATGTAAGTGGGAAAAAAACAACTCGTTACAACGTGTAACGGACTATAACGTGTAACGGACTATAACGTGTAACATACTATAATTTTTCGTCTCTGTCTCCAACGTCTCTCAGGAGGACGACGACCCTGAGACTCTGCACCTGGTTTATCTGGGAACCGTTTGAGGAAACGAAGACAAACTGAACGTTTGACTCTCGTCTTCAACAACAGCTTATGTTACCCAACAGTTCCTGGAACTTCACATCGGACCCAAAGTCTTGTTTTTGTTGTTCATGTGTAAATATTGTATAAAACGAATTAGGTTTCATAATTCACTGAGTTCATGGAACTGTCTCCTAGACATACAAATAGTACCAGGAACTGTACTTAGCTCCTGCTACTTTTTGATGAAAAAACATATAGTTCTTGCTTCTGTAACAAGTTGCTGTACCAGGTGAGCTACCTAGTTCCTACTGATATTTGGCGAAAAATAATATAGTCCTGGTACTATTTCCTGGTCAATTCTGAAACGGCACAAGATTCCCAGTACAGACACTAGTCACTGCAGTGGATCTGAACGGTTCCTGGTACTGTTCCTGGTTCTCGCTCCTAATTCTTCATGGTACAAATGCACAAACTCAGCTGATCCATCGGTACTCAGTACCTTGTAATGGAATCTACTGTTTCTGTCGTGGGAAAATGAAAGACAGTTCCTGGTACCGTTACAGTGTTACTGGGACACACACATGGTTTCTGTCCCATGTCACCGGCACTATTTCTCCTCAGTACTGAACACGTGTGAAATTTCCTCTCAGTCAAAGACAAACGACGAGTCTGACGAACGCGGTTGGAGGTTATTTTCTGTCAAGAACAAACGGAACCCTGAAATAGAACCGTTGTTTAGATTTGTTCCTTTTTTTAAATGTGACAAAAACAGTTTTAAACCTTGTCATTAATCAGACTGAAAATTAAAGACTTGTATTATATTTCCATCACTGCTGGAACTGAACATTTGTGAGTGTGAGTGTGTGTGTGTGTGTGTGTGTTGGCCCAGATAATGGGCCTCAGTTTTATTCATGAATAGGAACCAGCCAGGGAGTTAAAAGCGTGGCGCGGAGCCTGTTTCCTGAACGGCAGCCATGGTCGTGTCAGAGCTGTCGACGCCGCTCTCAGCGACTAATCTGACAGCGCGGCGCGAGCCCTAATCCCTCACTGTATCGTAATCTATTTACTTTGCATTCTAAGAGGATTTCCACTAAAAAATATACACGAAGAAGCGTCGCTGGAAACGGACAGAAGATCAGCGAGGACGCTTTTCTGCCTTTTTTGTTTGTTTTGTTGGTGGGGTTTTTTTTGTGTGTGTTTTTTTGGGGAGTCAGCTGCTGCCAACGTGAAGGGTGAAAAGAATTACATTTGTGACTGATACTAATACTTCTCTTATGTAAACGTCCTGATCCTACAGTCGCACGGCAGCGGCCGCCGCAGATAAGTGGCATCCGTTGGTTCCTTTAGTGTCATTTATCATCGACGAACCCGAGGCTGAATTATCGCCCGATTGTTGGAGTCGACAGCTCGAATAAAAGCTGCGAAATCGCTCAACAGGCCGGCGTTGGTGTCTCGTTTTGTCTTAGTTCTCGTCCCAATTATTGAATCAAATTCATTTAGTCCACTAAATTGAAACTTAGTCCGAATTTATTCAGTAGAACTATTTTAGTCGACGAAATATAAAAATTATTTTAGTGGACTAGATTTAGATTAGAGTCAAATTTTTTTTTAATCTTAATTGGTCTTTTATGGCATGTTTTTTCTCTCTTATTTTTGTTTTTTCCAAGTGTCAAAACCAACAGATTAAATTTTTCAATCTGATTAATCACAGGGTAACAGTGAATTAATCACTATCAATTAGTGATTAATCGTGGTCATAATTACTGAGGATTAACTGACCAAGTCTTTCAGGACCATCGACAGACGACAACGTTCCCATCTCCCTGTCAGACCAGCACGCAGCGAAGTTGCTCCCTTTTTTTTTTATAACAAATGTTCCAGGCAAACAGAATGTTCTTCACACAGTTCCGTCAGTTCCGTCCAATCACAACGACCCGTTCTTCTTCTACAGTGAGCCCAGCAGCTCTCAACGTAAAATAATAAATGAATAAACTGCGTCTGAGACGACTGGCAGAGACGGGCTTATTAGTGGTATTAACGCGGTGCAGGAACCTGCTGGAGCTGTGAAGTGGCCTTGTTAACATTTGGAAATGAACCAAGCCTCCAGCACTCGCTATTATCCAGGTTGGGCTTGTGTTTCTCTCTCTCTCGCTCTATCGCTCGCTCTCTTTCTGGCTGTAACAGCTGTGCAGCGTTTCTGCCCGGCTCTGATCCCATCTAATGATGTTGGGTCTCTGATTGGACTGATAATGGCTCCCCCCTCAGGGGCCACTTGTATGTTTGTCTCACAGATCAGCATAAATGTAAAAACATTATAGACAAATGTGTCAGAGACACTGAAAGACGAGATGATTTATGTCTGACAGCCAGGACGGGAATTAAAACTCCCGGCGGGGGAAAAGAAAAGAGGTGTTAAATTACAAATGTCACCGTCAGAAAAGAAGAAGAAAAAAAGATATTTGGATTTGATTTGATGAGTAAAATTCACCTTTAAAATTAATTTATCACGATATTTGATTTCCGAAAGGTGTTTGTTTGTTTTTAAAACTGAAACTAGTTTAGAATTACAGGTGAAAACGTCGAAAAAGAAATGAACAACAAATCGTGCTCCTAACTTCCTAGACTTTTGTTCCTCTCGTCATTCCCTCCACTTGAGGGAAAGTGCCATAGTCCAGGGGTCACCAACCTCCGGTCCGGGGACCAGCGCTAGTCCGTAGGTCATTTGGTATCGGGCCGCAGTGGAATACAGTAAAAAAAAAAAAGTACTTCAGTTTTACTGATTTACTTCATTCTAAAAGAATCCAGTTTTATCCCTTCACTTTTTTTCATTTGTCAATGTTTCAAAACAACAGGTCTGAAAGATTTCGAGTTTTATTTTAAAAATGTAATGATCCTTCAACGATCGTGCGGTTTTTACCGGTCCGCAGTAACGGCTGATACCGACTGACAGGTCCTCGGTACAAAATGGTTGTCGACCGCTGCCATCATCGTCCGTGTCACATGGGTCAAAGGTAATGAGCCGGTTTCAGGTGTTTTACACTCCTGCCACCGCTGCTGCTGCTGCTGCTGCCCCTCGGCTCCGGGAGTGCACAGAAATTAGTCACTGGAGACAACTAAACTAAAACATGACAAAAAAGGAAGTGTGGCCCAAGTGCCACACAGACGACTATCTGTTGACATCTGCTGTGGGAGACTCTGAAGCCTGCAGGTCAACAAGTCTCCATTAAGTCTTTTTTTACAGGTCTGGAGAGCTGCAGGGGGAAAGAAGACGTGTCGGGGCGAAGGACGGCTGCGTAATCCCAGCACTTTTCAAATTCCTTTCCACTTCATCCCTGCATTTCCTGCCACAACTGGGAGAGAGGTGGACGTCACCGGAGCCACGTATCACAGGTGAGAGGATGGAAAAAAAAAGGACAGGAATTGTTCCAACCTTTACTGGTCATGAATGTCACTGAGGGTCAGTTGTTTACAGTGATCTGCCAATAAAGACTGTCAATAAAAAGTGGACGCAGCCATTCCATTCTCAATGTGAGGCCCAGGAAGTCCAGAAAGGGTGGGTCACTCTGACGGAACTGGGTTTCATGTCATTAAAATAGGGAAATTAATTTCAGGTTTTTTTTTTTCAGAAAAATCCATGCATTTTCCTTCAAGACTGATTTTAACTGAGCCTGGTTTTGGTGTCGGGTAACATTTCGTGGGTTCAGTTGTCGGAGCCGTGAACATGAGAAGGAACCGGTGACCAGTGAAACAAGACAAACCTCGGTCGCTGCAGTTTCTGGTGTCCACTTTTTTTTTTTAGAATTCACCAAACAAGACGTACAAATAAAATAGGAGAGAAAAACAAAACAAAGCCTCTTCCTGACAAAGCGCTGAAACCGGAGACCACGGCCCAGGTCGACACCCTCCACGCTGTACAGTTGACCCCAGATTAACCTCTCAGGTAAATACAATCCTCCTCTGTATCACCTCTCACTCCACATACAGGCCTATACCAAACACTGCAGGATGTCCAGGTCTGGTGACAGTCAGCAGCCCATGAAAGACAACCGTGTATGTGTGTGTGTGTGTGTTTTCATGGTAATGTAAAGAACAGTCAGTAAGGCCCCAGCATGCAGGCTGCTATCAGGGCATCTCTCACTCCTTCTCTCTCACTTTGACTTTCGAAGGCCTTAAAAGTTTTTATAAGCTAAATACTGGAGGATTAGTCCAGTGTGTGTCTCGCTCTGTCTCTGTCTGTCTCTGTCTTTAGATGCAATTACACACTCACACAGAAACAGTCCAGCACCAGTTCAGGTTCAATTCCAGAACAAGTGTGAACTAAGTGTCAACAGATCCAGTCCAACCACACAGGAAACAAAGAACAAAGAAATATCACTATATATATATATATCCACATATATGTATATATGTACACATATATCCACATATTTGTACATATATATCCACATATATGCACATATATATCCACATATATAGATATATTTGTTTCGTATGTTGTCGATCTCACTGCGCCGGTCGACTCCTAGCATAGCGGTAAACCAAGGTAAACTTTCCGCTCTCTATGGAGGGACTGTCTGAACTCCCAGAACGATGACTCGCCAAAAAAAAAAAAAAAACTCATTGCAACAGCGCCCTCTACGTAGCTAAATGCCCCCTTTTAAAATTCTCACCATCAGACAAATATGTTCACTTTCATTCAGTGATAACAAAGACAGGAAACTGAGTCTGCGTACATTCATAAACTTATACACACATTGTTACGATATTTGACTCGTATTTGATTTGAAGAACATTAACATTAACACTGTTCCATATATGTTTATATAGGTTCTTACCTGTTCCAACAACCATCGATGATCCCTCTGGCGTTGATCCGTAGAGAAGAAAACATCCAGGGTCATGGTACCAATGTTACCAGGTCGGTCTGCTAGTCCGGGACTACGCCACCTTGTGGAACACAGGGGTGGTTTCGCAGTTATTCCTATATGATGGCGACACCAAACACATGAATGTCAGTGAGATTAACTTATCACATCTTATCACATCTTATCACACAGTAAAACACACAACTAAACATCACTGAATGTAACAATGGAAGCAGAGTAATCACAAACAAACCTCTGTGACGGTGACGCCAAACATATGAGTGACAGTGACATGGCCGTCCTCTCCATTAAACTCCTAAAACAAAATTAAAAAATAAATAAATAAATTAGCATGTAGGCTACAACATGGAGGACGCGCGTACAACCAACACGCCCACAATCGGCCTCAAGGTGAAATCCCGTTAAAACAATTTTCCCACTTTTGCCCAAAAACGGCTCCGACAAAGACACTACATGACAAAAAAAACATCACAAACACGTCTCGGAACAATGTTACATCAATATTATTTCATTAAATTGTCAATAAACTTAAAAATATAACTTTATCGATTCAGTAGCTTCAGCTACGTACCTCTCTCAATCAGGAACACCGGCTAACGGCTAATTTCCGCACACTTTCAGAATAAAAGTTCGGACTTGTAAAAAATGACGGAAATACAAAAATAAAACGCACAAAATACATTATGTGATGATTTTGGGTTAATAATAATAAAATAAAATTAAACAAAATGTTTATTTTTACATTACATGTAGTTTTATTATTACTTTTTCTTATTGAATTACTTGTAATGTTTATTTATTGTAAATATAGTAAATATTGCAGATTTAATCTCTCTGTTTTATCCTTAGTAAAAAAAGAACAACATCTCTCTCCTCCTGTTCCTCTTCCTTCTCCTCTTCCTCGTTCTCCTCTCTTTTTCTGCACGTCAGCAAATGTTTGTTTGGTGTAAATCCCGGACAAATCCTCCGCTGTCACTGGCCACTGGCTGCGCTGTTTGCGCGTCTTGGCGCAAACATGTTTTTAATGTGTTGAGCGGCGGATTATTTATCCAGCTGCTCTGAGACTCATTTACATGAGAAGAGGCAGAAGAAGAGACGGAGCTGCAGCTGAACCACAGACTCATCAGGTCGATGAGAGAAGTCGATAATATATATCATCGGTCAAATACGAACTAGAAATCGATTACAAAACACCGCGTTTAGCCTTGAAAACTAAACACGGAAATGACGTTTTGATTTTTTTAGATGTCTTGTCAATAAAAATAAAATTAATTTGACCTAAAACCTGCCGATATGTGACCAGAAAATGTAACTAAAATAAAGTTTTTTATATTAAATGTGATTCATTCTTCACGTTTAGTTATGTTTAAATAAATAAAATGGGATCATTTAATTTAAAAAAAAAAAACCTCACTATTTATGCTTTAAAGGCCGTGAATGCATCATCTAAGTGGATTAATTTTTGTTTATCAAATTAAAGTTTATTGTATATATTGTATACTATATATATTTATTGTTAATGTTTATTTGCTTTGTCATTTTTTCATTTATTGTCTTTTGACAATAAATATAAATATTTAAAAATAAATGTTATACCTTATCTGTTAAATGCTTCGTGTTACTTTTCTATATCAGATGAGGCGGTTTTTCGTTGGTGACGACAGTATGTTTTTGTGCCTCTAGGTGCCGCTGAATCCTTCCTACTGGTGCTGTAACAGTATTATTTGATATTAAATGTTTCTCTGACTGTTACAGTGTCTCATCTTCATCGTCGGCCTCCTGCTGCTCCAGTCGTTACGTTTTCCTTGTGTTAAATAAAAGTAAGTTTTAATAGAAAAAAACGGATAATTTTAAATAATTTCAGAACTTATTTTTGTGATTGTAAGAATCACAATTACTCTAAATGGCTTTATATTTTGGAATTATCCACATTGATTTGTAGAAAATTCCCAAAACAATCAATATCATATCATTCCTCAGATTCCAGGCCTGACTCTTTAACCACTGAGCCACAGGCCACACAAGAACCCATGGTTCTACTGACGTTCTACTGGGTCAGAACCTGCCGTGTAAGAGTCTTGTTAAAGATTGTTGTTAGTTTAGACCAGTGGTTCTCAAAGAGGGGGGCGGACCCCCACATTTCTGATGATGCAGAGGGGGAGTCGTGGGGGGAGAGTCAACGAAAGTGTGTGTGACACAGGAGTCCAAGTCTTATGACTCCGATTTGACTCACTGAGTTTTTTTGGCTCTGAACTCTTTTCTCTGACTCTGACTTGAACTCCACTCAAAGTTTTTTGTTTTTTTTCTGACGCAGCGTTTTGTTGCCTGTCGTTACCTGCTGTACACGTTTAAGACCAAATTATGGACCAACAACGTAACAACGACCAAAAACCTGGTGCTTCTGAGGTCCAGTGTCGATTCAGAAGTTTTGGTTGAAGTCGACATGAGGTCAGATCTGAGGTCAGATCACAGCTGAGTCGTCGTCAGTGCAGGGTCCAAACCAGAACAGCTGTGTGAACGTGTGCGTGGGTGACTGTTGGTGTCAAGTCTGAAATCTGACTGTCTTCTCTTCCCCTTCACTGACACACACACACACACACTCTAAAACTGCCCTTATCCTCCCTCCTCCTCCCCCTTCACTTTCTTCATAATGCCTAATGTTTATGCCTGCGAGCATGAACACATCACACATTTACATGTGACCCTCTAACCTGCCCCACCTACATAATTACTGCATCAGAGGCAGAGAAATTCCTGCAGGTTATTTTGGAGAAACCAAACTCAGGGAGCAGGAGTCATTATCACGCCATTACAGCGATGCATTCAATGACGCCTCCATCAAATCACTCCCGGCTCAACACTTAGGGCCTTTTTTTTGTTTCTTTAGTCTTAGCAGCGGAGTTTTAAATGAAGACCTACAGCAAGGAGACATGTTGCTGTTTCAATTAGAGTGAAGACAGAGCAGGAGGATTAAACCTCTCTGAGAGGAAAATGTTTTCCCCGCACGCCTTCACCGCCGTGTTTTAATTAGGAACTCATTTGCATTTAGCCCTGTTATAATCATGACAACAACAAAAAGTTTAATGAACAAGCTGTAGAATAAACATGTGACTGGTTGGAATGAGCGCAGACTGAAGAGCAGAGTTTGTTCGTTCTCTCTGCAGAACATGAACCAGTTTTTGGGGTTTTTTGTTGTTTTTGTTGTTGTTGTTTTTTTCCCAGTTTGACTCAGAACAGAAGGGAGAGATGTGACTTATAACGGATCTTTATTGGATGAACATGTATGTATGTCAGGGTGGTCGCCTCGTAAAGATACATTCAACATCTCACTGTCATCTTTTGGAGCCAACAATCCACATTTCCTCTCCAAGAATTATAATTAATATAGTAAAAGTAAAAAAAAAAAAAGATGCTTTGACTCCAGATCAAGCCAAGTGCTGCGGTTCAAACATCCAATAATCACAACGTTGCCCAAGAGAGGAAGTCTGGTCTGAAAATGCAGAGGCTGGAATAATAATAATAATTTATTATTATTATTATTATTATTATTAGGGTCGTTATAATATCTGGGAAAGATTCTTCAGGAATATTTCTGCAGCTAGATTTAGAGATGAAGTTTCCCAGGAAGTTTCTTTTTTTTTTTTTCTTTTTCTTTTTTTCTCAAAGAGCCAAAACATTCTTTTCAGTGAAACAGTGGATAAAACTCTGGACTCAGTGGCCAATTCTGTTCTCTTTGGAATATTTGAAAAGATTTACATACAGTTTCTTTATGTGTGTAATTTTTTTTTTTTTTTTTTTACTTTTTATCTCTCAAAGTGGTAAATAAACAATTTTAAAATTCAAGGTAAAATGAACACCAACTAAACAAGGTCACTGGAACTGACCCAAATACATATTTACAGATTTCAGCTCCAGACAGCAGCTGACTAAAAATCTCTGTCATCCTAAAATAACAAATTTGCAGAAATAAAAACTGTACAGGATCTGATTGGCCAGGAGGTAAAAGAGAGGCGGGTCCCGTAGGTGCAGCTGCGTGAAAATCCCTCCTCCCATCCAGAGAGAGCAGGTCAAAGGTCACAGAAGTTTAGCTAAAATTAACCATTTGTGGGGTTTTTTGTTTCAGTTTGTTTTTTCTTTAGCTCATCCAAACAGGAATCTTCTTCTTCAGGTGAACTCCTCCTTGTGGGACTGAAGGAACTGTTTTTTTTTTCTCTTTCTCTTGTCAGATAAAAAAACCGAGAACTCGGAGGACCAGAGAGTCCGACTACAGAACCTTCCCGTCTTCTTCTTGGTTTCTTTTTTATTTTGTCTTACGGTTCATAAACTTTTTTTCAATGTCTTTAAAAAAAAAAAAACAACAACAAGCGAGAGGCTGAAATCAGAGAGGAGGGAACAGAGTGGGGGGAAAAAAGCCAGATCACAAGACTTGGAACCTCCAGGAGGCCTGGTCTTTGTAGTCCAAGCAGTCCGTGGCGTTAAAGTTGAGTTTCCACGAGGAGGCCGCGCTCTGCTCTTTGTAATCCAGGCAGTCGGAGGAGTTGAAGGCCAGGCCGGAGCCGCCGTAGGCCTGGTGGTGGTGGTGGTGGGGGGGGGGGCCCGAGGCATGACCGGTGTGGGGGTCGGGGGGTCCTCA